AGGCATAAATATGTGGGGGATTATTACAGTTGACAAGAAGAAACCAACAAATGAGCAGGCTGATAATTATGCAACCTTGTTGGATTCATGGGAGACTGATAACTCCAAGATCATTACATGGATTAATAATTCTGTTATCCATTCTATTGGTACTTAGTTGGAGAAGTATGACATGGCAAAGGAGGATTGGGACCACTTTGTTAGGTTGTATACCCAGTCTAACTTTGCAAAGCAGTATCAGTTAGAGTTTGATATGCGATCCCTTCAACAGAACAATCTCAGTGTTTAGGAACTTTATGCACTTATGTCGGATTTGTGGGATCAGTTAGCTATTACAAAACCTGATGTGTTGAAGGCTTTTAAGCCTTATATTGATAGAAGGGAAGAGTAACATTTGGTTTAGTTCTTGATGGCATTACCTTCAGATCAAGGGTCTACGTGGATCAATCTTGCATCGTACAACACTTCATACTGTTGATTCGGTTGTTCACAAGTTGATTGTTGAAGAAACAGATATCGAGTCCCATGCTGACAAAGCATACATGATAGCCACTCCTACTGTCCTTGCTATTCCACAACAACCTCAGTCTTCAAACCAAAATCATCTGAGAGTTCCATTTGATTAGTGTGCTTTCTGTAAGAAGAAGAACCATTGGAAGGCAAATTGTCCTTTTCTAACAAGCAGGGGAAATCAACAGCAACAACAAAAAAGATCACCAACCCAGCCTCAATCTTCACAACAGAATAAGTCTTCTGGATAGTCACCTCCCTCATTTCCATCTTTTAGGCCACCACAATATACTGTTGCTACACCTTTAGTTGAGAATGAAAGAGATTTCACACCACCATTAGCCTTGGATACACAGATTGTTGAGCAGTTCAGACAGTTCTTAGCTACAAATCCAATTGCCATGTCAGCTTCCATGTCTCATTCAGGTCTATCTTCTTCCAACATGTCAGGTATTCGTTCATCCTTGTGGATATTGGATACTAGTGCATCTCATCACATGTCACCACATTTGTCATCTTTTGCTTCATTATCTTATCGTACACCTATCTATGTTATGTCTACTAGTACTATACCCATGTCAGTAGAGGGTGTTGGTTCTGTTGTAACTCCTTATATATTTTTAACAAATGTGTATTACATTCCTACACTTTCTTTTAATCTTGCGTCTGTCAATCAGTTGTGTAAATATGGTTTTTGGGTCTTTTTTTCTTATTCATTATGTTGTCTACATGACATTCAGTCTCGTAGGGTGATTAGGATAGATCGTAGACTTGGGGAGCTCAATGTTTTGGATCAGCTACATGTTGCTGATGTTGCTACATCTAGTGTCGATTTGTCATCTTTTCGTTTAAAACATTCATCGTTTGTTTTTTAGCTTTGGCATTCTCGTTTGGGACATGTGTCAGTATCTCGTTTACAGTTTTCGGTTTGCACTGGTTTGTTAGGCTCTTTAAAATTTGATGATATTTCTGATTGTAAAATGGGAAAATTTTCTATATTATCATTTAATAAAAGTGCCACTTGTTTTATTGCTCCTTTTGATATTGTGCATTCTGATGTGTGGGGTCCCTCTCTAATCACCTCTAATTGGGAGCTAACTATTATGTTTCATTCATTGATGATTACACTCGGTATACTTGGGTCTATTTTATGAAGTGTGGGACTGACTTTTTTTACCATATATAGTGAATTCAGAGCTCTTGTCAAGACTCAACACTCTGTTGTCGTAAAATGTTATCGGTGTGATTTGAGAGGAGAATTTACCTCCAATGATTTTAAACAATTATTGGCATTTGATGACACTATACATCAATCATCTTGTACAAACACTCCTCAGTGGAATGGTGTTGTAGAAAGAAAAAAACAACATTAACTAGAAACTGACAGATCCTTACTACTTTTTGCTCACGTTTCCAATATGTTTTGGAGAGAAGTTGTTCATACCACCACTTATGTTATTAATTGCATTCCTACTGAGTACACTTTGGGGAATTCTCCTTATAATATGTTGTTTTGGACAACATCCAAATTATTCTTTATTACGAGTACATGTTTTGTCTTGAAGCCTCATATTGAGAGAGATAAGTTATCTTCAAAATCAACTCTTTGTGTTTTTCTAGGATATGGTACTGTTCAGCAAGGGTATCAATGCAATGATCCACAATGATCCTTTAAATTAAAAAAATGCACGTCTCTCGCAATGTCAATTTTTTGGAGCATATTCAATTCTAAAGCATTCCTGTTCAGTTACATGATGCAACCCGAGAGGAGCTTCGTACTATTGATCCATTTAGCATTGACTTTGATGATCCACCACATGTCACCGATCCACCACTTGTTGCTGATCCACCACTAGCTGCTGATCCACCACGTGTCACTGATCCTCTGCCTGCAGATCATCAAGACCACCCTCTATCAAGGCCTTATCTTAATAAGAAGTCCGCAAAACTTGCTGACTTTTTCTATTCCTCTTACTCACCGGTGTTTGCCTCCTTTCTTGCTAATGTACATCATCTCTTTGAGCCAACATCCTACAAAGAGGCTGTTTATGATCCCCTTTAGCAGACCGCTATGGCTGAGGAACTTGCAGCTCTTTATCAGACTCATACATGGGATCTGGTTCTGCTTCCGCCCGGAAAACACACGATTGGTTGTCGTTGGGTATATAAAATCAAAACAAGTTTCGATGGATCCGTTGAGCATTATAAAGCCAGACTTGTTACAAAAATGTACGCAGAAAATTATTGTATGGATAATGACGAGATGTTTTCTCCTGTTGCAAAAATGACGATTGTTCGCACCTTGATTGCAGTTTCTTCCATTCACCAATGGAAGATTTAGTAGATGGATGTCAAGAATGCTTTCTTAAATGGTGATCTTCATGAGGAAGTATACATGTCTCCTCCCCTTGGTATTGCTCACCAACTAGATGAAGTTTGTCGACTTCGGAACGCTCTATATGCCCTCAAACAAGCCCCTCCTGCTTGGTTTGACAAATTTTCTACGGTGATTACTTCACTTGGTTTTCAACCAAGTAACCATGACTCGGCTCCATTTATTCAATGTATGAATACAGGTTGGATTATTCTTTCCTTATATGTCGATGACATGATTATTACTAGTGACGATCATGATGGTATAGAGTATTTAGAGCGTGATTTGGCTGACCATTTTGATATGAAAGACTTGGGTTTGCTACGTTACTTCTTAGGGATTGAAGTTGCTCAATCTCCAAAGGGTTATCTTTTATCTCAAACGAAGTATATTTCATATTTGGTTGAATGTTTACGACTCACGGATAATCAAATAGTTGATATGCCTATATAGAGTAATGCAAAGTACTCTCCAACTGATGGTGTCCCATTAATAAATCCAAGCCTTTATCATACCATTGTTGGAAGTTTGGTTTACCTGACTGTCACAAGACCGGATATTGCTCATGCGGTTCATGTGGTTAGCCAGTGTGTCACTACTCCTACTACTGTTAGTTGGGGAGTTGTTCTTCGTATATTGAGATATTTACGTGGTACTCAGTTTCACACTCTTTTGTTTCCATCTACATTTTCTCTCGAGTTGCGTGCCTATACTGATGCAAATTATGACAGTGATATTTACGATCATATGTCCACTACTGGGTATTGTGTTTTTCTTGGAGATTCATTGATATCACGGAAAAGCAAGAAATAAGATGTTGTCTCTCGATCTTCTACAAAATATAAGTATCAGCCTATCCCTTTGTACTCTGTTAAGGAGTGTGCGATAATGATTTCCAAGAATTCAATGTTTCTTGAGCACACAAAGCACATTAAGATTGACTGTCATTTCACACATCATCATCTCCAGAAAGGCACTATCTCCCTTTTTCTAATGTTCCTTCCTTTTTGCAGATTGCTGATATTCTTACGAATTTGTTGACTACTCCTCGATTCCATTTTTTTGTCTGACAAACTTTCAATGCATGTTGATATTGCAGTGTGAGTTTAAAAGGGGGGGGGGGGGGATGTTACCCTAATAAGATTTTGGGCTTCATCTTTTGGGTTTTATGATTGGGCATTTTAGCTAGGAAACCATAAATAGCTAGTCTATATATTATATCATTCTCTTTCATTGTATTTTTACTTTTCTTTGATAATAATATGAGGCCGTTGCCGTTATATGTTTTTTCATTTGTTAGATTACAGTGATGACAGCAAACACAAGAATATACTTATATTTTTATTTATATATGAATAATACTTTTCTCCATCATGTTGGTACAGAGGAAGGTTTGTAGAAAAAAAAATATATGATCTAGATTTATTCTCGCATTCTTAATTACATAATTGCTCTCTCTCTCTCTCTCTCTCTCTCTCTCTCTCTCTCTCTCTCTCTCTCTCTCTCTCTCTCTCTCTCTCCCCCCCCCCCCCCTAAACGAAATAATTCAAAACAAATAAATATATAGTGGAGGATGCTCAATATGCAAGGTTAGGAGAAAAGGGGATGGTAAAGATGAATTAATCAGTGTATTTCCGCATGCTTCTTTCCATCAGATTTCCGTCTAATCGAATATTCCATTAATTTTACAATAACTATGGAAAACGATATATTATGATAATAGGTGTGTGACTCATGTATTATACGAGTTTATTAAAAAAAGATTAAAAATTAAAGTGTAAACAATAAATCTTTTTTAAATTAAAATTTTATAATAACGGATGAAAAAATGTATGCATTTCAATTTAATATAATATTTATTATATTTATAATTTACATACATAAGTATACGATATTTTTAATGTAAAAACTGAACAAACCAGAATACAACAAATAACAAATGTGAAAATTAATGAGATTGACGTAAAGCAATATATATATATATATATATATATATATATATATATATATATATATATATATATATATATATATATATATATATATATATATATATATATATGTATTCATTTCATTAATTAGAGTTTATTTATGTTGATTGATATATAATAACGACTCACCTGATAAAACAGTCGTCAAGAATAACATATGCACCGTTCCCGCTAGTGCAACCAGCCAATGTAGACACCCCGCTATCGAAGCAAGCCAGGCACTGGACTGTTGTGAGGTAGTGCCTGCATTGGGCTGTACCATAAACTGAATCTGCATCCCCTATGGTCTGGGCTCTGGAAAAATATGAACCATTTACCGATAAATCCCTTCTGAGTGCAGCAAGAGTGGAGTTGAGATTGGTGGAAAATTCCGATTGAGAGATCACAGCAACCCGACCACAGAAAGATCTAATTGGTATGTTAATGGTGCTACTGTTGACTATTGACTGTGATCTGCTAGGATTCAATATCATGCTTAGAATGACAAGCATGGCTGTTAGCCACCATGGTAACCAGTAACTTGCTGACATTAGCAATCCAACAAAAGAAGAGAAAAGAGGGAAATTAATATTCAACCTTTGACAAAAAATATGACATGAAAAAGAAGAGAGAGGAGGGATAGTTAACTGATGAAGAGGTTTTGGTTGACTTTCTAAACTTTAAAATAAACATACAAGCAAAATACATAAAATAACACCAAGTGTACGTATGTCCCTAATCTATGGCTCCTTAATCCTAGGTTGAACGTGAAAATAGAATATAAAAAACAGAGAGAACCAGTGGACTTTATATTCCTGGATCGATGTAATTTAAGTTTTCTTTATCCCTATTTTAAATTTCATGTTGCATGTATAAATGTAAGACTTTTATCATTCTTTATCTATTGGTATCGATCTTCGCAGGTTAATTAACAAAGTGGTGACGTTTAGCCGACGTCAAAGGTTCTTATTCATTGTATTTTAGTTGATTTCATATTTTCATTTCAGGAACGTGAATAATTAAGAAGTTGTCTAATTTATTCATTATAGCACATTTGACTTCTTCAACAGCTCATGGTTTTATACACATTTCATCAAAATTTATATATAATGTATAAACGTATTTTCTATGTTTTTATATTTAATTTTACATATTTATATATTCTTTTAAGTTTTTATATGCATATGTTTATGGTTTTTAAGTATTTTAAATGTATACATGTATTTATATATATATATATATATATATATATATATATATATATATATATATATTTATATATATAATTGATTTACATCTTTTCTATGTAGTTATATGAGCTTTTTATTTATGTATTATGTATTTGTATGCATTTTTGCATACTTATGCAGTTTTAAGTGTTCTATATAGATATTTATATATTTTTTTGTAATTTAAAAGTAAAAACATATTTTTCTTACATATTTATATATATATTTTTTTTAACTAATTTACAAATTTTTCATGTATTTTTATGTGTTTTTTATGTATTACATATTTATATGTATTTTTTTTAGTATTTGAGTACTTTTTAAAGTTTTTTACATGTGTTTATGTATTTTTATATAATTTTAATCTATAACCGTATTATTTTTATGTATTTATCTATTTTTTTTACTTCAAATCATCTTCACCATTGCATTTAATTATCACATCTTCAAATATTTGTGATGGTTTCCTATATACCCATATAATTTATTTTTTTCTCATTTCGTTTTGGTTGAAATTAAACACAAAATTGAAAGAAAAAATATATATATATATAAGTTATCAAATTAACCATGAAAAACTTTTCGCTTATAAGTATTCATATGTGTATAGATTATTATTTTTTTAATTCGATATTTAATTTCAATGTAAGCAAATAAGAAAATATTAAAATATGTGGGTACGTACGAAAACTATGTAGTCATATTCGAAGGAGCCGTAAGAAATAGATGAAATAGTGAATACGATTTAAAGTAAAAAATATATAATTACGTAAATATAATACGATTATACATTTAAAATATATCAAAAATACATAAACATGTATATAAAAAAAACATTAAAAAAATACATAAACACATATAAATAAATATAAATACGTATTATATAAACAACAAATAAATTTTTTATAAAATACTTAAAAGTGCATGTAAATACGTAAAAAAATATGTTTATATGTTTAAAATACATAAAAGACAAACATCTATATAGAAAACATTAAAAAATATATATATGAAAAATACATATAAATACATAATAAATAAAATATAACACATAAAATTAATAAAATATGTAAAATACTAAAAAATACATATAAATATGTAAAAAAATATATGTTTATACATTTAAAATACATAAAAAAAACATAAGCCTGTGCATATACAAACTTTAAAAAATATATAAATACATAAAAATAGATATAAATATGTAAAAAAATACGTTTATACATTATCAAAATAAAAACCTTACCTTTAGCGACCACAAAAAATAGCAATTGATTATGATAGACGTAGCTAACAAATTAAGCGATGCCAAGACATCGCTAAGGGGTTGCTGCTATTACCTCGTCGCTAATACTTAGTTGTCACAATTATTAGTTGTCGTCATGATTACTGTCGTCTTAATACTTTTCGTCACTAAAAGACTTTGTTGTTGCAATTAGCGTCGCCTCTATTAGTATTTCGGCACCGGTCGAGGTTTTTTCTAGCAAGGCTCCCCGGAGGTAGGTGTCGACACAATTAATGCATGTTGTCGCATATATTGTCGCCCCTAATGCTTTTTTTAAACAATTTATATATTATAAAATATAGATATCAATGCCGACTTTTTAAATACATAAATCAATACATACCACATTAAATAAACATCTAATAAGGAAAAACAATAATTAGGACATTGCATAAAACATCATATATATCACATTACATAAACTATCAAATAAATCCAAAATAAACATCAAAAATACTATCTATAAATTATTTAATGAATCCAAAATAGCATCACCGTAACATAAAACAAGAAATACTTGGCGTCTTCATTTTCCTCATCGTTCTTTTCCCCGTTATTGACTTGGTTCTTGTACGAGCAAATAATATGTACAGATGTCGTCACAAACGTCGGGTTTTGAAGAAGAACATTCACATCCGCATCATACAAATTATGTATATAATTTAAAATATCAAACTAAAAAAATTATTATTACCTAACAATTAAGTAACAAGCACATTAATTCATTAACAATTCATCAAACTATCAAACCACCAAATGAATTAAGTTGTTAACAATATAACAAACTATTAAACCACAAGAACGATGATGTTTTTAACATTTTAACAAACTAGCAAACTACTAAAAATTAGTATAAATGGATCAAGTACTTAACAATATAGCAAAGCTACCAAATTCTTTGTGAATTTAATAAGTACACGTGTTGGTTGTAGTGCTTTCAACTATGACTAACATTAGGATGGAGCACTTGTACTTGCTACAAAAAGGGGTTCAGGCTTAATGCCTATTACATGGCCCTTCGAGCACCTAACACCTTCTCAAATATTGTGATCCGATCAATGGAGTCTGGATCATCACCAGTACCGGCTAGTGTTGAGTCTGTAAAGAAACCTCAATAATTATAACATTCTGGACTTCACAAAGATTATCAATATACTTTAAAACTAACAATAAAACAATCTACTTCATTTTTAAGTAGTAAAAACTTACATATTGGTTTTCAACTAACATATCAACAAATTCCCTTGTTTATTCACATGCCACGGTGAAATGATTCAAGTCTAATCAAATTCTGTTTAACAGGAAAAAATATGTTAAACTTGAATAAACATTAAAAAGTATGTTATAACTGAATAAATATTATTATAACTTACGTTCATAAAAAATAGCATTACTGTATTTGCATGCCCCTTCATGATTCTTAACTACTTGGTTCTTTCGGCATGCTTTGTTTTCTATGGATTGTTTTTGATGCTTCTCTGTTAAGAAATGGTCAATAGCATGAATCCAATGTTGCGGATCCATACCATCAGGGGATCTAGCCCTTGTTGCCTCTACATCACCTTTAAAATTAATAAAACGAGTTTTTGCAATATGTGTGCGGGCTCTATACCGCACACATATCCTATTGTTTAGTGTAAAGATTTACCTCGATGGCCCATCACAACAGACATGAGATGGAGGAATATATTCTTAAAAAATAACATCCAGAAGAATTATAACATAATATGTGTGTGTGTGCATATATATATATACACACACACACACACACATACAGACATAAAATATGATATGATTACAACAAATACCAATCTCATTTTACTAGTAAATGTAAAGATTTTTTAATCATTCTCGGCTTTAGACACTTCTGCTCACACATCACTATCATAATTGGAATCCTCCTCATCATAACCAGTCTCGCAGTAGTCAAACACATTATTTATGACACCCGTTGGCAGACCAACTTCAACATCATCCTCAACCGATTTAGAATTTTGAAAGTATCGGATAAATTCGATTGAAAGAGTGAAGTAAGAAGAAGAATTTGTAAGAACAACATCGGTTGAATCATTATCGACATTTTCAATGTGATCATGGTTAACATCGTTGATCGATAGATCCTAATTCTTCTATGATTAACATTTTCAACAACCCACCATTGTTCGTCATTTTCGTCACTTCGAGAAGGTTCTCGGAAGTAAAATACTTGCATGGCCTATGTAGCAAACATTAGTTGATCTTCGCTGCTCAATTCATGTTGTGGGTCAATATTGGTGAAATTATTATGGGATTAAACTCTTGCACTATTGATACACTTGCAACGAAAAAGTACAGTGGAATAATTATGTGGATAATGCAACTCGATAATCTCTTATAGCTGATCATAATATTTCTGCTTATTCTCTCCCTCTGTTAGAACCCCTGAGTTTTGTGTTGATCATTGGACATCATGCATAAGTACCATAAACCTAAAACTATTCACTATGCAAGTGGTGTAGGTAAATGCATTCGCATGCACACCAATTGAAAGAGACGATAACTCCTTGTTATACTCTAGAGCTTTTGTTTTTGCATATTATAGGCCTTGTAAAGGAACCATTTCAGGAATTTGTTTTTTTCATCACATTCAGGATGTAATGATTTAAATTCACTACATTGATGAAAAAAATATATAGATTTAATAAAAAAGGAGAAATTAAAAACAGAAAATGAAGTAAAAGATAAGAATACTTACACAATATAAGTTCTGACTTTGTTACAACTATCAAGCACGAACCATTATAGATGTTTTCTCTTCTATAGATTGAGTTTTTTCATTTTCATTGTGCTAGTCAAACGACAGTTAGACTGAAACACCCATAACTTTGTTTATTCTATGACAACATCCTCGTTTCTTTTGATGCTATTGAATAGAGACTCGACATCTTCAAGGTACATTAAACAAAAAGACAATGCCTCTTCCGCGACATAACCCTCAACTATAGAACAGTGGCGGAGCCAGGATCAAAGTAAAGTGGTATCCCAATTTTATTTTTAGGGTAACCCAATTTTTTTCCGGGGTACTTAGGCTTCCCCGATTCAATTTTAGTTTTAAACACAAACCATAATTGAATCCTTAGCTAACCTCAAGTCTTGTTATATAAACATGAAGTTGAAGTATATTTTCATACTTGAATCGATGTGGGATTCAAAGTAGATATTAAACGAAGTATGAGGATATCAAGCTTATATAATAGACAAAAATGGTTGACTTTACATATGTTTGGCGATGTGGGATAGAATAGTTGGGAAAATAAAACAAAAATAAACAAAGAATATGCAAGAAGCAAGAATTAAACCTGATAGCTTTACTTTAATAAGGCAACGCCTTAACCAATAGCTCTACTATTTGTTTGTGTTTAAGATTGAAGGGATACATACATATATATATATATATATATATATATATATATATATATATATATATATATATATATATATATATATACATTATACCAAAAACAATTAAAGAATTCGTAAACAAAAATTACACTACCGAAAAAAATTCGAGGGGTATCTCGGGCTACCCCGGGATCCACCTACGCTATAGAACTTTCCGTTCTCACCTTGTTTCTGACATATTTATTTAGTTTTTTTTATATACATTTTGAAGTGTTACATCCATCTCATACATACCGGGCCTCCGCAAATAGCTTTATCAGGTAAATGCAAAACTAAATCAACCAAAATGTCAATAAAAAGGCAGTAGGATAGATCACTTATAATTTGCACAATATTTTAATAACGAATTCTTTAACTTTTTTCATATCCCTCACTGACATTGATTTTAAGCAAAGTTGCTTAAAAAGATACAAAGACCTACTATTAGTGTATAAATCTGTTTAGCCACAAACCCTTTAACCCCAATAGGTATGAAACGTTGCATAAGAATGTGATAATCTTTAGATTTCAACCCAATAATGTTAGTATTATTTTCATTCACTTTCTTATTGATGTTAGATCCAAACCTATCCGAGAATTTCACATCTCTTATAAACTTACAAAAGTGAATGCAGACATGTTTCATGAAAGAGTAAGGTGGATAGGGTTTAAGGAACTTGTTGCCACTCTTTTTCAACCATTAACTTTTTTTAATGTTCAATTTTGTCATATCTTCTCAAGCATTTGATGTGTCTTTAGACTTATCACCATCAGCAAAGTACCTAGAAGACTATAACCCATGTTTTTTTTATTCAGTATACATAAGATCAAAGTTGTGCTTCAGCTCCAGAGAAGAAAAATACGCAAGTTGAAAGAATATGCTCTTTTTATACCAATTTGTAACGTCCAAAAAATCCATACCAAATATTTTTCTTTAAATCATTACTAAAACCATTTTTTATAAAAACATATCATAAAGCATCACATAATTCAGAGTATTAATTCCAAACATAATTTCATTATCAGAGTAAAACATCCCAGACTGACTAATCAATGGTATGTGCCATGCGATCACCCCGAGCTCTTCCCTTCGCTACCGGAAGTACCTGAAACCAAAACTGAAAACCGTAAGCACGAAGCTTAATGAGTTCCCCAACCTACCACATACCCTACATAAACACATATTGCACATACTAGGCCACACCCGCTATTCTGGGCCTCACTCGCTACTTCGGGCCTCCTCCGCTACAACGGCCCCGCCGCTCTAGGCCCTGCTCGGATATAGACTTGTTTCACTTAGGCCTCGCCCGCTAACATATACTAACTGTAACATCCCGGAATCGCAAGAGTAGAGTTGAAGGGCTGAAAGCATAAGTTTTAGAGGATGACTCGGCGAGTCCATGGCTGACTCGGCGAGTCAGGTCGCGGTCATGGTCGCGTGTCTAGTGGCCTACTCGGCGAGTCCATAGGATGGACTCGGCGAGTAGGTGCTGTATGGAGAAAACCCTAATTTCCGGGGTTGAGCCCTATATAAAGAGCATTATACCCCTCCACAGCCTCCTTTATTCCCCCCTTGAGTTCCAGAAACCCTAAATTCGTGGGGAAATCATTGGTAGAGCAAATTAGAGCTTGGAGAGGTGTTGTTTGAAGAGATCTTGAAGGAGAAGTGGCTTGGATCAAAGGGCTTTGCTTGGATTCGAGTTTGGCTGCTATTGAGGCATCTTTTGGAGGTAATATCTTCGTCCTTAGGCTGTGCATTCCTAGTTTCATCATTTTGGGGTTTGTGGGGAGTATGGCTTGGAATGTTTTGGAGTTTGGAGGATAGATCTGAGGTTGCTACCTCAGATCTGGAATATTGAAGGCCTAGAGTGCATTAAAGTTCCTGTGTTTGAGTGCTTAGTGAAGCCACCATGTCCCAAACCTTGGTTTTAAGGTGATTATGGCTTAGATCTCGTTAGATTCACGTAAAGTTTGCCACTTTACGTGATGGATGGATTGTAGGAGGTTGGATCTATGTTTTGGATTAATTGCATGGCCTGAGATGCTTCTGTATGGATTCAGACCGGTGGTACTCGACGAGTCACATGGGTGGACTCGACGAGTTGCTTGAAGATGGCCTGGGACTCGACGAGTTGGAAGAACAACTCGGCGAGTAGGTTGAAGATGGCCTTGGACTCGACGAGTCCATTTGGACTCGGCGAGTCTTGTCAAGGAAGTCCCAATATTTCTGGTTGAGTCGATGAATCGGTGAGTCAAGGGATGACTCGGTGAGTTGGGTACGAGTGGACTCAGAGTTGTTGGACTCGACGAGTTTTTGGGGTGACTCAGCGAGTTGGGTCACTGATTGAAGGAAGTTTTGAGCATATGGACTCGGCGAGTCATCGGGTTGACTCGGCGAGTAGGGTCAGTCAGGGGTTGACTTTGACTTGTCCATGGTTGACCAGTTGTCTTCCAGGGGTATTTTGGTAATTAAGGGTATTTATTGAGTTGTATGTTTTGATGTTCAGTGGAGGAGTTCGTGTCAGAATTCGGGGGCAGCGGGATCTTATCTTTTCAGCCGGCAGTTTCGAGGTGAGTTATCCTCACTATATCAACAGGGTCTAAGGCACCAAGGCCGGCCCTTTATTGTATTGAGATTCGGTTATGGTTATTATGTTATTGTTTGATGTGTCTGCATCCTGGTAGCTAGGATGGTACATGCTAGGAGGCCTTGCTAAGGTCAGTTTTCCCGATATACAGAGTGATGCTATGCTAGTGACCGGTTAGGTCGGTAACCCGGTTAGGGTAATGATATGCTATGTGATCTGCTTGCTCGGTTTGTTGACTATGACTGTTATATGAATGTATGTTTTGTGCACATGGTTGTTTGGACTGGAGATGGGTTGAGGCGGGTCCTGCTTTGTGCTGTAGGCCAAGATACCCAGGGCGGACCGGTTGTTCCGAAGGCCCAGCGAGCGGTCCGGATAGGCTGTAGGCCCCACGAGGGCGGACCAGACGTGCCGAGGCTCGGAGAGTGGACCAGGCCGACTGAAGGCCCGATGCGGGCGGACCAGTCACACTGTAGACTCAGAGAGTGGACCAGGTGGGTTGAAGGCCCGATGCGGGCGGACCAACCCCACTGTAGACTCGAAGGACATGACTAGACCCGGAGGATGGATCCGTTGGACTGAAGGCCCGATACGGCGGACCAGTCACACGGTAGACCCGATATGCATGGCTGTTTATGTTCTGTTATGTTATGTATGTTTTATAT